CAAAAACTTTATGGAAACAAGATATTAATAGTATATTCTATGAAGAACTGGCAGTTCTTCATCAAATATAACCAAGATTTCCCATGGTTCCAACTTTTTAAAAATTTCGTTTAAATTTGGTCAATTGAGTACAAGTTGTTAGGTGGTTTATCGACATTTTCAAAAACTTTATGGAAACAAGATATTAATATTATATTCTATGAAGAACTGGCAGTTCTTCATCAAATATAACCAAGATTTCCCATGGTTCCAACTTTTTAAAAATTTCGTTTAAATTTGGTCAATTGAGTACAAGTTGTTAGGTGGTTCATCGACATTTTCAAAAACTTTATGGAAACAAGATATTAATAGTATATTCTATGAAGAACTGGCAGTTCTTCATCAAATATAATCAAGATTTCCCATGGTTCCAACTTTTTAAAAATTTCGTTTAAATTTGGTCAATTGAGTACAAGTTGTTAGGTGGTTTATCGACATTTTCAAAAACTTTATGGAAACAAGATATTAATAGTATATTCTATGAAGAACTGGCAGTTCTTCATCAAATATAATCAAGATTTCCCATGGTTCCAACTTTTTAAAAATTTCGTTTAAATTTGGTCAATTGAGTACAAGTTGTTAGGTGGTTTATCGACATTTTCAAAAACTTTATGGAAACAAGATATTAATAGTATATTCTATGAAGAACTGGCAGTTCTTCATCAAATATAATCAAGATTTCCCATGGTTCCAACTTTTTAAAAATTTCGTTTAAATTTGGTCAATTGAGTACAAGTTGTTAGGTGGTTTATCGACATTTTCAAAAACTTTATGGAAACAAGATATTAATAGTATATTCTATGAAGAACTGGCAGTTCTTCATCAAATATAATCAAGATTTCCCATGGTTCCAACTTTTTAAAAATTTCGTTTAAATTTGGTCAATTGAGTACAAGTTGTTAGGTGGTTTATCGACATTTTCAAAAACTTTATGGAAACAAGATATTAATAGTATATTCTATGAAGAACTGGCAGTTCTTCATCAAATATAATCAAGATTTCCCATGGTTCCAACTTTTTAAAAATTTCGTTTAAATTTGGTCAATTGAGTACAAGTTGTTAGGTGGTTTATCGACATTTTCAAAAACTTTATGGAAACAAGATATTAATAGTATATTCTATGAAGAACTGGCAGTTCTTCATCAAATATAACCAAGATTTCCCATGGTTCCAACTTTTTAAAAATTTCGTTTAAATTTGGTCAATTGAGTACAAGTTGTTAGGTGGTTCATCGACATTTTCAAAAACTTTATGGAAACAAGATATTAATAGTATATTCTATGAAGAACTGGCAGTTCTTCATCAAATATAACCAAGATTTCCCATGGTTCCAACTTTTTGTAAATTTCGTTTAAATTTGGTCAATTGAGTACAAGTTGTTAGGTGGTTCATCGACATTTTCAAAAACTTTATGGAAACAAGTTACTAATAGTATATTCTATGAAGAACTGGCAGTTCTTCATCAAATATAACCAAGATTTTCCATGGTTCCAACTTTTTAAAAATTTCGTTTAAATTTGGTCAATTGAGTACAAGTTGTTAGGTGGTTTATCGACATTTTCAAAAACTTTATGGAAACAAGATATTAATAGTATATTCTATGAAGAACTGGCAGTTCTTCATCAAATATAACCAAGATTTCCCATGGTTCCAACTTTTTAAAAATTTCGTTTAAATTTGGTCAATTGAGTACAAGTTGTTAGGTGGTTCATCGACATTTTCAAAAACTTTATGGAAACAAGATATTAATAGTATATTCTATGAAGAACTGGCAGTTCTTCATCAAATATAACCAAGATTTCCCATGGTTCCAACTTTTTGTAAATTTCGTTTAAATTTGGTCAATTGAGTACAAGTTGTTAGGTGGTTCATCGACATTTTCAAAAACTTTATGGAAACAAGTTACTAATAGTATATTCTATGAAGAACTGGCAGTTCTTCATCAAATATAACCAAGATTTCCCATGGTTCCAACTTTTTGTAAATTTCGTTTAAATTTGGTCAATTGAGTACAAGTTGTTAGGTGGTTCATCGACATTTTCAAAAACTTTATGGAAACAAGTTACTAATAGTATATTCTATGAAGAACTGGCAGTTCTTCATCAAATATAACCAAGATTTCCCATGGTTCCAACTTTTTAAAAATTTCGTTTAAATTTGGTCAATTGAGTACAAGTTGTTAGGTGGTTCATCGACATTTTCAAAAACTTTATGGAAACAAGATATTAATAGTATATTCTATGAAGAACTGGCAGTTCTTCATCAAATATAACCAAGATTTCCCATGGTTCCAACTTTTTGTAAATTTCGTTTAAATTTGGTCAATTGAGTACAAGTTGTTAGGTGGTTCATCGACATTTTCAAAAACTTTATGGAAACAAGTTACTAATAGTATATTCTATGAAGAACTGGCAGTTCTTCATCAAATATAACCAAGATTTTCCATGGTTCCAACTTTTTAAAAATTTCGTTTAAATTTTGTCAGTTGAGTACAAGTTTTTAGGTGTTTCATCGACATTTTCAAAAACTTTATGGAAACAAGTTACTAATAGTATATTCTATGAAGAACTGGCAGTTCTTCATCAAATATAACCAAGATTTTCCATGGTTCCAACTTTTTAAAAATTTCGTTTAAATTTTGTCAGTTGAGTACAAGTTTTTAGGTGTTTCATCGACATTTTCAAAAACTTTATGGAAACAAGTTACTAATAGTATATTCTATGAAGAACTGGCAGTTCTTCATCAAATATAACCAAGATTTTCCATGGTTCCAACTTTTTAAAAATTTCGTTTAAATTTTGTCAGTTGAGTACAAGTTTTTAGGTGTTTCATCGACATTTTCAAAAACTTTATGGAAACAAGTTACTAATAGTATATTCTATGAAGAACTGGCAGTTCTTCATCAAATATAACCAAGATTTTCCATGGTTCCAACTTTTTAAAAATTTCGTTTAAATTTTGTCAGTTGAGTACAAGTTTTTAGGTGTTTCATCGACATTTTCAAAAACTTTATGGAAACAAGTTACTAATAGTATATTCTATGAAGAACTGGCAGTTCTTCATCAAATATAACCAAGATTTTCCATGGTTCCAACTTTTAAAAATTTCGTTTAAATTTTGTCAGTTGAGTACAAGTTTTTAGGTGTTTCATCGACATTTTCAAAAACTTTATGGAAACAAGTTACTAATAGTATATTCTATGAAGAACTGGCAGTTCTTCATCAAATATAACCAAGATTTTCCATGGTTCCAACTTTTTAAAAATTTCGTTTAAATTTTGTCAGTTGAGTACTGCATAAGAATAGTTTGGTCTACAAAATGATGATAAAATTTTTTAAAATATTAATGATAAGAAAAGTTACGGCAAAATGAAGATTGTCCTAAACTTTTTTTGTACCCTGTAGATCAAATTTCAACGAAATTTTTAGCTTTATATCCAGTTTGTAATGCATGAGCACCTTTAAAATATTCTAAAGATTACAGTAAAAATATTTATCGAAATATTCAATGGCATAATCATAATAAAATTAAATATTAATTAAAACATAGTTAAAAAGAACCGGAAAATCTATAAATATTTATATTAATGTGGTGTTTTAAATATTTAAATAAAATTATAAATTTAATTATAAAATTAAAATTATTAAATGAGAAATATAAGCAATTTTTAAGCACATAGCTCTATGCTTTAGAAAAATTCCTATACATTCCTATACTTTCTGTGCTTCGATTGTACGGTACATATATTTTCAATGTAATTATATTACTTCAAAATCATTATTGAATAGATCATTATTGAATAGAAAAATCATTATTGAATTTTAAGAATGTAATTATTTGGATATATTTTTACTTCAATTATTCTCGAGGATAGGGTAAAAGGATTTTTATAGGGTTTATCGGCGGGCAATTAACATTGTTAATATTAGGAATAGATTTTATTCAATTAAAAAGTATCCACCTTATTAATTTGTGAATTTTCCAATTGTTGCGGCTGAGGAATCTGAATTTATAATAATATTAATGTATCTTAGTTAACTACATTAATATTCGATATGTATTTAATCAGAAGGTCTCGGCTATCTGAGTCGAATGGTAACACTCTCTATCTGAGAAATGACTCAAGCCTATATATGTCCTTAAAAACCGAAAAACCATAAGGGAGAGTAAGCTCGATTATGTGGTCAAAAATTCGTTGACCAATATCAACAAAATCAGACTTGCTTGAACCGAGAAATAGGCTCCTAAAACTGAAAATCAAAGGGGGGATTTTTGGATTTAAAGTTTTTTATATATTATATAATATTTCGAAGTGGGCCACCGGCTAAAGTACAGCCTAATTATTATATTTAAAAGCTTTCCAACATTATTTAAAAGATTAAATTTTATTTAAAAAAATTTATTCACCTCTGCAATTTCTATAATGTCATTAAGTTGTTCAAGTTGTGGTGTGGGAGGAGGGGGTGTTGTCTAAATTTATAATAATTTTAGGTTAAAAATTTAATTTAACTCGAAAATTACTAAATATTTATACCAAGGAGCCTGGGCCGTGATTTAAAAAAATAGGGTATTAAATTTTTCAAAATTCCTATATTCAATTCAAGATTGTTTTTAAAAAAATATGAAATTTCGTAAATATTTCATATTAAAAATAGTTCGGCACAACAACCTTACATATTCATTATTTATAGTATTGGAAATTTTTGTTAAAGTAAGCAAGGTCTTGATAAAATATATCCCGTAAAAATAGATTCATTTTTATATTTCGATGATTATAATACCTAGTTTATGTACTTATAAAATAGGAATAAACGGTTATATTTAAATTTAAAAAAATTATTTTATTTTGAAAATTTAGACCCATAAAATTATTTAAATTAATAGATTTTAATGTGTCAATATTATAATGGCTTTTTGTTGAGGTTAAATAATAAAGGTGTTATAATTTTTGGTATTTATTGTTATCTCCCCACATTTTCTTTCCTTCTATTTCCGGAAAAAATTTCTACCTCATTTTCACAATTATGGCCACAAATAATTTCCACATCTGTTTTATCTTCCATATTCCTGGTGATAACCCGACCAGGGCATTTAAAATAACGTTTCTCACTACATTCCCATATAATTAAATTATTTTTGCTGTTTGGCGATTTGAAATAATGATGCCCCTCAAAATATAATTTTAATGTGTTTTCTCTTGTTTTTAGAAATTAATTGAAAATTTTATTACAATCGTATTCTTTCTTTAAGTTTATTATTCTTTCTTTAAATTAATTGAAAATTTTATTACAATCGTATTCTTTCTTTAAGTTTTTAAGAAAAAACGGTTAATAAAATTCTTAAATTAAAAAATTTTTAGTATTTTTAATAGACAAAAATTATTAACAAAACAAAAATTATTAACAAAATAAATTTTTTTATGCTTAAAATTAAGAAAAATTAAATAAATAAAGAAGTGAACAAGTAATATGTATGTATGAGTTAGTGAGAAAAAAATGTAAAACATAAGTAGTTGACTTTCTCCGTTGTGCCTAAAAACATAAATTAAATCTTTATTATAAGTAACGTGTGTGAAGAATGGTTTAGTGGTTAGTGGTTTGATTTTTATTTCCTAATAAAATTACTACCTCATTTTCACAATTATGCCCGCAAATTATTTCCACATCTGTATTATCTTCCATATTCCTGGTGATAACCCGACCAGGGCATTTAAATTTTCTTTTATCAGCACAATCCCATAATATTAAATTATTTTTGCTGTTTGGCGATTTGAAATAATGATGCCCCTCAAAATATAATTTTAATGTGTTTTCTCTTGTTTTTAGAAATGTAGCCATGTTAATTTGGGATTTAGAATAATTTATAAGTAAATTTTTATCTTTAAAATAATATTTAATATGTATACCGTAAATGCTGAAATAATTACCCTGGGTAATTATTGTTTCGACCTCGCGCTGAGGGGGGTAATTATTAGGGCGGGGGTAATTATTTGAGAGAGGGCAATTATTATTTCGACATGTATAATTTTATTTTATTATAAGCATATGAACAGGGATATAAAAATTTACCGAATTCAGATATAAATGTTGACATTTTTACTGTGTATATAAGCATAGAATATAAGCATAACATCTGTTTCCGTACGGATATATGTAAAGGCACCATGGGAATGTATCTAATTATGTATAATTCTTATTTAGGGGATATAATCTATATTCCGATAATCTATTACTCTATAATGTACCTTAAAGTGGTACTATACTATCAATACTGCCGTCTTGGGATATATAAATAAACGTAGTCTGTCGCAAATTATTTAACGGATGTAGGAAATATCAGAGAATTAGGATATTTGCATGGATTAAGACTTTCATCGTCCCATTATCTAATGAGAGTTTAAGAAAATCTTCTTAAAAAATCTTGAAATCTTCTACAAAACTTTTTAATCTCTCGATATCTCTCTTATCTCACACAAATCCCTCGATATACTGCCAAAATACTTTCAAATTATCCATTTATTTTGTCGATATTGATCCTATAACATTTTTATAATTAAAATTGATAATGATTTTTTAATGTGTATTTTTAAAATCAGTGTAGAGTAAAATAGGGGGTAATTATTAGAGAGGGTAATTATTTGAGATAGGGCAATTATTTCAGCATTTACGGTATTAATTGAAAATTTTATTACAATCGTATTCTTTCTTTAAGTTTTTAAGAAAAAACGGTTAATAAAATTCTTAAAGTAAAAAATTTTTAGTATTTTTAATAGACAAAAATTATTAACAAAACAAAAATTATTAACAAAATAAATTTTTTTATGCTGAAAATTAAGAAAAATTAAATAAATAAAGAAGTGAACAAGTAATATGTATGTATGAGTTAGTGAGAAAAAAATGTAAAACATAAGTAGTTGACTTTCTCCGTTGTGCCTAAAAACATAAATTAAATCTTTATTATAAGTAACGTGTGTGAAGAATGGTTTAGTGGTTAGTGGTTTGATTTTTATTTCCTAATAAAATTACTACCTCATTTTCACAATTATGCCCGCAAATTATTTCCACATCTGTATTATCTTCCATATTCCTGGTGATAACCCGACCAGGGCATTTAAATTTTCTTTTATCAGCACAATCCCATAATATTAAATTATTTTTGATGTTGGGCGATTTATAATAATAATGGCCCTCAAGATATAATTTTTTCGTGTTTTCTCTTGTTTTCAGGAAGGTAGCCATTTATTAGGTGATTTAGAATAATTTATAATTAAAATTTTTATCTTTGAAATAATTTAAATATGTATACCTATTAAATGAAAATTTTATTACTATCTTATTCTTTAAGTTTTTAAGTAAAAACGGTTAATAAAATTTTTAAATTAAAAATTTTTTAGTATATTTAATAGACAAAAGTGACTTCAAATGCTTGAATTTTTGTGTGGAAGAAGTTTAAAAATTATTAAAATTATTAAAAAATAAATTTTTTTATGCAGAAAATTAATAAACTATAAATAAATAAATAAAAGAAGTGAACAAGTAATTTGAGGTAGAAATAAAAAAAAGTGTAAAACATAGTTGTTGACTCTTCTGCGTTGTGCCTAAAACCATAAAAACATAAATTAAATCTTTATTATAAGTAACGTGTGTGAAGAATGGTTTAGTGGTTTGATGTCTGTGTCTGTCGTATGTGTTATCCTCCATAGTCGCGGTTGTAAGCCTACCAGGGCATTTAAATTTTCTTTTATCAGCACAATCCCATAATATTAAATTATTTTTGATGTTGGGCGATTTATAATAATTATGGCCCTCAAGATATAATTTTTTCGTGTTTTCTCTTGTTTTCACGAAATTAGCCATGTTAATTTGGGATTTAGAATAATTTATAATTGAAATATTTATCTTTAAAATAATATTTATTTTGTTTATTAATTGAAAATTTTATTACAATCGTATCCTCTCTTAAGGTTTTTTAGTAAAAAGGGTTAATAAAATTCTCAAAACAAAAAATATTAGTATTTTTAATAGAAAAAAGTGACTTCAAATGCTTCAAATTTTGTGTGAAAAGAGATTGAAAGAGCGTTATCGAACTATTTAGTAAATTTATTATTGAAAACATCAGCACATTATGACAAATATTATTAAAATTTAATTTTTTCTTAACGAAATTAAATGTAGTTTTTAAGTATAACTGTTTGGAAAAATACTAAAAAGTTAAAATATAATATCTTTAAATTTTTAATTTAAAAGAATTTATGAATAATTCTAAAAGTTTAGAAAATAATAGAGTATAGAATTTATTAATTTAAAAATCTAATTTTTAATAAAAAATTTTAATAAATAAATAAATAAATTTAAATTTTAAAAATTAAATTTGTAAATTTTTACCCATATATTCGCATCATTCTGGTATTTCATATTGATACTCTTTTGAAGCATCGCCATCAAAAATACACTCAGCATTGGCTAAGTCTTTCGAATTAAGTGGGCACGCCCTTTCGATGACATTTTTTATATTGATAAATGAACAAATAAAATAAATATTCTGGAATTTGTTCCGAATTTTAATTCGGGAATTTGTAAAATCAATAATTTTCTCATTTATTCCGTATTATTTCTACATCTGTGTTATCATCCATATTCCTGGTGATAACCCGACCAGGGCATTTAAAATAACGTTTTTCACTACATTCCCATATAATTAAATCATTTTTGCTGTTTGGGCATTCAAAATAATAATGACCCTCAAAATATAATTTTTTCGTGTTTACTCTTGTTTTCACGAAAGTAGCCATGATAATCGGTGATTTAGAATTATTTTTAAGTATAAAAATTATCTGGATTAAATTTATTAATTTAGAAATTTAATTTTTAAAAAAAAATTAAAAAATTTTAATAATTAAATAAAAAAAATTAATTTAAATTTTAAAAGTTAAATTTAAAAATTTTTACCTTATAATCGCATCATTCTGGGTATTTCATATTTATACTCTTCTGAAGCATCGCCATCAAAAATACACTCAGCATTGGCTAAGTCTTTCGAATTAAGTGGGCACGCCCTTTCGATGACATTTTTTATATTGATAATAATATAAATTTTATGAAGTTAGCAATAAAGCTGACAAATAATATGATTTTTCCAAGTTTTATTTGCTATAGCTCCGACAGAAAGTAAAATATAAGGAACCTAACCCCAACTCTTATTTGAGTCTCAGATTGATTTTTTTTTGCTTAATTTTTTCTCAACTAACTTATCTTTTAATTAACATGCTTAGGAAAATAAATGATCTGTAATAAAAATTCAATGTAAGAATCAAATATGAATGGGAGTGGGATATTAAATAAGTACCAACATAAGCTTTAGCAACCACATACTAAAAATAATGCTTCGTTATAAGGAGTAGAGATCGGAATTTTGAAAAAACCGGGTCCGGGAAACGGGTTCTGAAGATTGACCGGGAGGGACCCGGACCGGGAAAACCGGGAATTCCCGTTCCCGGTTTCATCCCGGGTGCTTCAAAAAAACCGGGAAAAGGGACTCGAAAACCGGGAAACGGGTACGGGTCCCGGACCCGTTCCGATCTCTAATAAGAAGTACATATATTGTCAGTAGAGTACAAGTTTTGTGGTTAATAAAAAATATTTATCGAAAATTCAATGGCCATGAACAGAATAAAATTAAATATTAATTTAAAAATAGTTAAAAGAGAAATCTAATAAATTTGATTTTTTAAATTAGGTCGCTGATAGGTCAAAAACTTAATTTCATAAAATTTTATATTAAGAGACCAAAACTAATTTTATGTAAATATGAAATTCAATTGACCTTTCCAGACTTTTAAAAAATTTCTATAAAAAATATCTAAAAAATATTAAATTAAAAACATTTTAAGTCAAAATAAAGACTATAATTTTTAAAAATATTACCACATTAAATAGGATAATCTATAGTACATGGTTATTTTAATGAGGTGGTTTTAAATATTTAAATATAATTATGAATTTAATTATAAAATTAAAATTATTAAATAAATAGAAATAAATGTCAACTAGGCAATAATTATCTAATTGGACTAGCAGGTAAAATAATTATAGAGTTGCATTGCTTTCAGAGTTTTTTCTGAATCTTTTAAATTTTATCTTTATCGAACACAAATCATAAAATGTAAATTAATACTTTGAGGAACGAAAAAGGAGGGGGTCACTACCACCCTCACTAGGTCACTACCACCATCACTACCCCCCCCCCTCCCCCTAGCCCGAACTAGGCAAAAAAATGTTTCGGATTTTGATATAAAATCCTATTTAGTTAAATGATTTTTTGAATTTTAAAATTTAATTTAAAAAACAATGCAACACTAAATATTTTTGTAGGTATAATTAAAAAATGGTATTCAGAAAGAAGCAAAATGAGGGGATAAAACATATTTGCTTTAATTAAAAAGAGTAATATTAACAAAAATAATGTGGATTTTAAATATTTTTTTGGATTTTTTTAATTTTTTAATTTAAAAAATATTTTAAAGACTTTAAATAAATTTTAAAAAAGAGGCGAGTATTTTTAAAAAATGCTTAAATAATTTAGATAAATTAAGCAAAATATAAAAGAAAGCAATACAGGAAAAGGAGACTAAAAGAATCTAATAGAAATAAGGTCAGACTTCATTTATGTGTACCTCACTGGAGATCGGACCGAGATGAGGTCTCAATCGAAAATCTTGTTGCTCGTATGTCCCAACCAGTCCGATCTCTAATTTGCATAGCTTAGGCTACCTCTTGAGGGTTATCGTTAATCTGTGTTGGACATTATTTTTTTATGTAACTCAGTCAGCGTGTCAGAGAATACAAAACAGAAATCAGACGCTAAATAATGTAAAATATTCCAAATATCGATATCTAAAAACTGAAGATTACACTTTAATTAAAAAAAATTTTAGAGGTAGATTTTCATTGTATTTTTGCAAGATGACATGATAAGTCTGGCTATAATCGCAATTAAGGACATAACTGTACACCTCATTTTAATATATGATTTTTTCTGTTCATCAGGGGTACACATAAATGAAGTCCTAATGTACATGTATAAATTGAATAAAAATGGCCAATAAAAATATTTTTTTAATTTTATTTTGAGGAAGAAAGGATTTTAGGTGGGAGAGAAAAATTAAAAAATAATCAGAAAAAGCATTGGCCATTTTTAAATCAAATTAAAATTTAAATACTAGACATAAACTAAGCTTTAAAATAAATAAAATAATTAAATAATCGAAGCTGCTATTACGCCAAAAATTCATCAAAAATTCAGTCAGTTTCGCGTACGCAGTTAAAAATAATTTTTAAAAAATTGTGGGGGGATAGGGAAAGGCACGGGAAATAATTTACAATTATTGTAATTTATTTTAGAAAAATGGAGAGAGAATATTTAAATAATTTAAATAGATTTAGTTAAAAATTAGAGAAAGCATGTTGTGTTAATTTAAATAAAAGTTAGAGATGATTTTGTTGGAGATGAGGGAATTTTGAATTAAATTTTATTTTTTATTTCTAAAATTGAGGTTGTGTCCCAATGGATTTTAAAAAATTCAAAAAAATTCTCAAGTTAATTTAAGGATGTTTCACCTGGAGCATTTAAAACGCTTAGGCGGTGGTTAAACAATTTACTATAAGGATAAAACGGCAAGCATTAGCTCACTCGTAGAGATCAGTGGTAGAGTTCTTGTATATTTTGAGCTAAAGGCGAAAGCGCCTAGCAATACCTGTAAGGGGGGTTGCAGTTCCGAATCCTGCCCGGTGGCTAAACTTTTGCCAAACTCTCTCTTTAAAGTTGACAGCACAGACTTCAAGTAAGCTTGCCTACTGTACTTAATATACTATATTTTAAATGAGTAGCTAATCTAGTATTTGGTTGTTATTAGAGTAAAAATGGAAATATAAAATATTACAAACTCAAAGCTTATATAAAGCTTAAATTTTTTGATAAAATTGTCTTTCTTGGCAGACCTGAATCATTTTTTGGAAGCCGACAATGGATGTCTGGCTATTAATAATTATTTGAAATTATGACAAAAATGTACGAAAATATTAGTTATATCAGTCATATTGCCAGACATTTAATTTAAAATGTCTGGCGTAATGCAAAAGGGCAGATTTTGGCGTTTATTCATTCTTGAAAGTTTTAGTGAAAATTTTAAGTTAACGAAAATATGTCTTGAAGTCTATGTGCATTCTACAAAATATGAAAA